TGGCGTTCCGCGAGCGCTATGTCATGGGTTCGTATCCTGGCCGGGGAGGATTTACTGGGCGCAATTCCTTAACTGTAGCCTCTGTTTAACGCAACAGTAAAATGTGTACTTGGATGAAAAAACGATTCTTCGCGGCAGGGGATCGTATTCCAGGGACCATAGGATTAAGGACTTGCCCGAAACGCTACGCGTACTAGTGGCTCTACAAGAATGTAACAACTCTTGTATATATCTCAAAAAAAAAAAAAAAAAAAAATACTGTGTGTGCAGTTCTACAATTGTAACAGAGGTCAAGTCCTCGTGAAATTTTGATTAAATTTAAAGTTATTTATTAGTGCTTAAATGTGGCAATTATTTACTTCATTTAAACAGAGAACGAATCGTCATAAGAAACTAATTTTTTATTTAAGGTTAAATTCTATTAACATAAGATGTCGGGATATTATGTCCAACAGGTGGACATGTCTGCAAATATTTTTTTTCCTTTTCCTTTTAATTCTAGGACAATATAGTAATAGCATTTTATGCACAGCATTATTCCTAGAATAGTTTACTGCTAGTTACTAGTAGAGGCATTATAGATAGATCCTTGTTCACTGGATCTATCAGATATCTATCAGATATACAGATAGATAGTTCACTGCCCTCACATGGGATAAACTTGCAATATACTACCAGCAAATAGGTCGTAAAGCTTACATTAGTGCCAGTAAATAGGTCGTAAAGCTTACATTAGTGCCAGTAAATGGTTCATAAAGCTTACATTAGTGCCAGTAAATGGTTCATAAAGCTTACATTAGTTCCAGTAAATGGTTCATAAAGCTTACATTAGTGCCTGTAAATGGTTCATAAAGCTTACATTAGTGCCTGTAAATGGTTCATAAAGCTTACATTAGTGACTGTAAATGGTTCATAAAGCTTACATTAGTTCCAGTAAATGGTTCATAAAGCTTACATTAGTTCCAGTAAATGGTTCATAAAGCTTACATTAGTTCCAGTAAATGGTTCATAAAGCTTACATTAGTTCCAGTAAATGGTTCATAAAGCTTACATTAGTTCCAGTAAATGGTTCATAAAGCTTACATTAGTTCCAGTAAATGGTTCATAAAGCTTACATTAGTTCCAGTAAATGGTTCATAAAGCTTACATTAGTGCCAGTAAATGGTTCATAAAGCTTACATTAGTGCCAGTAAATGGTTCATAAAGCTTACATTAGTTCCAGTAAATGGTTCATAAAGCTTACATTAGTGCCAGTAAATGGTTCATAAAGCTTACATTAGTGCCAGTAAATGGTTCATAAAGCTTACATTAGTGCCAGTAAATGGTTCATAAAGCTTACGTTCCATTATAAGTAAATAATTCATAACGTTTGGGATGAGTATCAAACAATTTTTTCTAACGTTTACAATACAATACCATTCCATGGCTCATAATGTTTGTGATACAATACCATTCCATGGCTCATAATGTTTGTGATACAATACCATTCCATGGCTCAATGTTTGTGATACAATACCATTCCATGGCTCAATGTTTGTGATACAATACCATTCCATAGCTCATAATGTTTGTGATACAATACCATTCCATGGCTCATAATGTTTGTGATACAATACCATTCCATAGCTCATAATGTTTGTGATACAATACCATTCCATAGCTCATAATGTTTGTGATACAATACCATTCCATGGCTCAATGTTTGTGATACAATACCATTCCATAGCTCATAATGTTTGTGATACAATACCATTCCATAGCTCATAATGTTTGTGATACAGTACCATTCCATGGCTCAATGTTTGTGATACAATACCATTCCATGGCTCATAATGTTTGTGATACAATACCATTCCATGGCTCATAATGTTTGTGATACAATACCATTCCATGGCTCATAATGTTTGTGATACAATACCATTCCATGGCTCATAATGTTTGTGATACAATACCATTCCATGGCTCATAATGTTTGTGATACAATACCATTCCATAGCTCATAATGTTTGTGATACAATACCATTCCATAGCTCATAATGTTTGTGATACAATACCATTCCATGGCTCATAATGTTTGTGATACAATACCATTCCATAGCTCATAATGTTTGTGATACAGTACCATTCCATGTCTCAATGTTTGTGATACAATACCATTCCATGGCTCATAATGTTTGTGATACAATACCATTCCATAGCTCATAACGTTTGTGATACAATACCATTCCATAGCTCATAATGTTTGTGATACAATACCATTCCATGGCTCAATGTTTGTGATACAATACCATTCCATAGCTCATAATGTTTGTGATACAATACCATTCCATAGCTCATAATGTTTGTGATACAATACCATTCCATAGCTCATAATGTTTGTGATACAATACCATTCCATGGCTCATAATGTTTGTGATACAATACCATTCCATAGCTCATAATGTTTGTGATACAATACCATTCCATAGCTCATAATGTTTGTGATACAGTACCATTCCATGTCTCAATGTTTGTGATACAATACCATTCCATGGCTCATAATGTTTGTGATACAATACCATTCCATAGCTCATAACGTTTGTGATACAATACCATTCCATAGCTCATAATGTTTGTGATACAATACCATTCCATGGCTCAATGTTTGTGATACAATACCATTCCATAGCTCATAATGTTTGTGATACAATACCATTCCATAGCTCATAATGTTTGTGATACAATACCATTCCATAGCTCATAATGTTTGTGATACAATACCATTCCATAGCTCATAATGTTTGTGATACAATACCATTCCATATCTCATAATGTTTGTGATACAATACCATTCCATAGCTCATAATGTTTGTGATACAATACCATTCCATAGCTCATAATGTTTGTGATACAATACCATTCCATAGCTCATAATGTTTGTGATACAATACCATTCCATGGCTCATATTGTTTGTGATACAATACCATTCCATGGCTCAATGTTTGTGATACAATACCATTCCATGGCTCATAATGTTTGTGATACAATACCATTCCATGGCTCAATGTTTGTGATACAATACCATTCCATGGCTCATAATGTTTGTGATACAATACCATTCCATAGCTCATAATGTTTGTGATACAATACCATTCCATAGCTCATAATGTTTGTGATACAATACCATTCCATGGCTCAATGTTTGTGATACAATACCATTCCATAGCTCATAATGTTTGTGATACAATACCATTCCATAGCTCATAATGTTTGTGATACAATACCATTCCATGGCTCATAATGTTTGTGATACAATACCATTCCATGGCTCATAATGTTTGTGATACAATACCATTCCATGGCTCATAATGTTTGTGATACAATACCATTCCATAGCTCATAATGTTTGTGATACAATACCATTCCATAGCTCATAATGTTTGTGATACAATACCATTCCATGGCTCATATTGTTTGTGATACAATACCATTCCATGTCTCAATGTTTGTGATACAATACCATTCCATGGCTCATAATGTTTGTGATACAATACCATTCCATAGCTCATAATGTTTGTGATACAATACCATTCCATAGCTCATATTGTTTGTGATACAATACCATTCCATGGCTCATATTGTTTGTGATACAATACCATTCCATGGCTCAATGTTTGTGATACAATACCATTCCATGGCTCATAATGTTTGTGATACAGTACCATTCCATGGCTCATAATGTTTGTGATACAATACCATTCCATGGCTCATAATGTTTGTGATACAATACCATTCCATAGCTCATATTGTTTGTGATACAATACCATTCCATGGCTCATATTGTTTGTGATACAATACCATTCCATGGCTCATAATGTTTGTGATACAATACCATTCCATGGCTCATAATGTTTGTGATACAGTACCATTCCATAGCTCATAATGTTTGTGATACAATACCATTCCATGGCTCATAATGTTTGTGATACAATACCATTCCATAGCTCAATGTTTGTGATACAATACCATTCCATAGCTCATAATGTTTGTGATACAATACCATTCCATGGCTCATAATGTTTGTGATACAATACCATTCCATAGCTCATAATGTTTGTGATACAATACCATTCCATAGCTCATAATGTTTGTGATACAATACCATTCCATAGCTCATAATGTTTGTGATACAGTACCATTCCATAGCTCATAATGTTTGTGATACAATACCATTCCGTGGCTCATAATGTTTGTGATACAATACCATTCCATGGCTCAATGTTTGTGATACAATACCATTCCATGGCTCATAATGTTTGTGATACAATACCATTCCATAGCTCATAATGTTTGTGATACAATACCATTCCATAGCTCATAATGTTTGTGATACAATACCATTCCATGGCTCATAATGTTTGTGATACAATACCATTCCATAGCTCATAATGTTTGTGATACAATACCATTCCATGGCTCATAATGTTTGTGATACAATACCATTCCATGGCTCAATGTTTAAGCTTCAGCATGCCTCATAAGTGTCACAAGCAACACATTATGAGTCTTGTGCACCATGACGTAGATACACCTACATTCACCTACACACAGGTGGAAGCCGAGTACCCAAATGAGCCACAGGGACGTTAGAAAGAACTTTTTCAGTGTCAGTATAGTTAGTAAATAGAATGCATTAGGAAGTTATCTGGTGAAGGCTGACTCCATACACAGTTTCAAATGTAGATATGATAGAGCCCAGTAGGCTCAGGAATCTGTACACCAGTAGATTGACAGTTGAGAGGCGGGACCAAAGAGCCAGAGCTCAACCCCCGCAAGCACAGGTAGGTGAGTACACCTCTCCCTGCATACTTACCTGAGGACCATAGATATGTTTTATTTTTTTTAATTTGGGTTTGCTATTCCCTGTAATTATATTTAAAATGAAAAAGAGACCAGAAGTGCATGTATTGACGAGGCATTTTTCTCATTTACTAATTAAACACACTATTGTTTATTTCAGGTGATGGAAGGAACCTTATTGGCAGCTGGGCAAATCTACGGTGTGGGATCCATCGACTCTTCCATTCTCATATACCTCGGTTTTCTACTGTTCTCTCCATTATTTACAATATTTATGTTCATGGGGAGTATCATCGGCACTGTTATCGGTAGGTTTGTGATCTATTGTTAGTACTGTATATAATAATAATAATAATAATAATTTTTATTTAGGCAAAGGTACATACATAAAGAGATTTTACAAAGTTTGTTGGCTTTATAGATAAGAGCTAGTACATACAATGCCTAAAGCCACTATTACGCAAAGCGTTTCAGGCAGGATTACGCAAAGCGTTTCGGGCAGGTTTCGGGATAAGTTTCAATATTATAAAACACATGACTTCTCAACAAAAATGATTACTGTGAGGAGTTTGAATAGGACAAGTGACGCTACACAATGTCCGTTTCATCAGTAAACATGTTGATGATCGGGGCCCATGACGGCGCAGCCCGTCCTCTTACCAATTACATCAATTTTCGCTCGTATGCGTTACGGCCAAAAATAGCCGTATTGGAATTTTCAAAAAATGGAAATTAATTTTCCAAATGAAATGGACCCAAAGCAGCAAGTTTTGGGTCCTCTGGTAGGTTCGGAGAGCGGGGAATTCTCCTAATTTTTAAAACGTCATGAAAACCGTTATGCCCTCTCGCCCTTTCTCTCTCTCTCTCTCTCTCTCTCTCTCTCTCTCTCTCTCTCTCTCTCTCTCTCTCTCTCTCTCTCTCTCTCTCTCTCTCTCTCTCTCTCTCTCTGTCTCTGTCTCTGTCTCTGTCTCTCTCTCTCTCTCTCTCTCTCTCTCTCTCTCTCTCTCTCTCTCTCTCTCTCTCTCTCTCTCTCTCTCTCTCTCTCTCTCTCTCTCTCTCTCTCTCTGTCTGTCTCTGTCTCTGTCTCTGTCTCTGTCTCTGTCTCTGTCTCTCTCTCTCTCTCTCTCCCCTCTCTCTCTCTCTCTCTCTCTCTCTCTCTCTCTCTCTCTCTCTCTCTCTCTGTGTCTCTGTCTCTGTCTCTGTCTCTGTCTCTGTCTCTGTCTCTGTCTCTGTCTCTGTCTCTCTGTCTCTGTCTCTCTCTGTCTCTCTCTCTCTGTCTCTGTCTCTGTCTCTCTCTCTCTCTCCCCCCCCCCCCGATAGATAAACAGAGACTAGGGGGGTGATAACACGCCAGACCTGTCCCCCGAAGCCCATATCAAGAGAATAACATCAGCGGCATATGCCAGGTTGACCATCATAAAACGGCCTTTAGAAACCTGTGTAAGGAATTATTCAGAACTTTGTATACCACATATGCCAGACGTATCATGGAGTATGCAGCTCCAGCATGGAGTTCATATCTAGTCAAGCATAAGACGAAACTGGAAAAGGTTCAAAGGTTTGCCACCAGACTAGTACCCGAACTGAGGGGGTATGAGCTACGAGGAGAGACTACGGGAATTAAATCTCACGTCGCTGGAAGACAGAAGAGTTAGGGGGGGTGGACATGATCACCACACAAAAGATTCTCAAAGGAATTGATAGGGTAGATAAAGACAGGCTATTTAACATAAGGGGCACACGCACTAAGGGGGACAGGTGGAAATTGAGTGCCCAAATGAGTCACGGAGACTAGAACTTTTTTAGTGTCAGAGTGGTTGACAAATGGAATGCATTAGGGAGTGATGTGAAGGAGGTTGACTCCATACACAGTTTGAAGTGTAGATATGATAGAGCCCAATAGGCTCAGGAACCTGTACACCAGTTGATTGACAGTTGAGAGGCGGGACCAAAGAGCCATAGCTCAACCCCCGCAAGCACAACTAGGTGAGTACAAATAGGTGAGTTCTCTCACCCTGCCCAAATTATGAGAAGGATTAAGACATAAGAACTGCTTGAGGAACCTAGTACACCACATATGTAAGACCAATCCTGGAGTATGCGGCCCCAGCATGGAGCCCGTGCCTTGTAAATCACAGGACGAAGCTGGAAAAAGTCCAAAGGTATGCCACTAGATTAGTCCCAGAACTAAGAGGCATGAGTTACGAGGAAAGGCTGCGGGAACTGCACCTCACGACACTAGAAGACATGGAGGCTGACTCCATTCACAGTTTCAAATGTAGATATGACTGAGCCCAGTAGGCTCGGGAATCTGTACACCAGTTGATTGACAGTTGAGAGGCGGGACCAAAGAGCCAAAGCTCAACCCCCGCAAGCACAAATAAGTGAGTACAAATAGGTGAGTACACGGGGGTGCTGGTGGCTGAGTGAACAACACGCTGGACACGTAATCCTGTGGACCGGGGTTCGATTCTCGGCGCCGGCGAGAAACAAAATGGACAGCTTCTTTCACCCTGATGCTCCTGTTACCTAGCAGTAAATAGATACTTGTGCGTTAGACAGCTGTTACTGGCCGCTTCCTGTGTGTGTGTGTGTGTGTGTGTGTGTGTGTGTGTGTGTGTGTGTGTGTGTGTGTGTGTGTGTGTGTGTGTGTGTGTGTGTGTGTGTGGAAACACATTTTTTTTTTAGTAGTTAATAAACAGTTGATTGATTGATAGTGGGGCTACCCACTCCCCCCAATATATGTACCTAAGCCATTCCACTTCACCATTGTAATCACTACTATCATCTTGTCATGGATGTTATATTGAACGCATATTTTTCTACATTATCCCTAGAAATAATCCTCAAATTTTACTATAATGTACATACTAATCTTCGTCAAATTTTCTTATGTACCTGTTAACATGTCTCAATTTTGCTAGAGATGACCTCCTTAAAATTATCTGTTAGATAATGATCGGGACTTGCCCGAAACACTATGCGTGTTAGTGGTTTTACAAGAATGTAAGAAACATCAATGCTATGTACTCTCATAAACCCAATGTATATACATTAGTTTGTAAGATCATTTTTATTTCAATATGTCTATGTAATGTTAAGAAAATATCATTTAAAGAGCACTCATCACATTGACCAGTATTCTTGTATCTTCACTAGGAGCTATGTTAAGCGCAGCACCTTATACAGATGCATATATTGGACTGTGGGGTTACAATGCCATGCTAACGGCAGGAGGCATCTCGTTCTTCATGGTGCCAACTCCAGGCGTCGTGTTAGCAGCGGTGGTGGGCGCCATTCTGGCGGCAACCGTGCAGGCAGCCTCGCTTCATATTTTCAATACGGTATGACGCGCTCTTGTAATCACATTACAGGCTTATAATAATAATAATAATAATAATAATTTTTATTTAGGCAAAGGTACATACATAAAGAGATTTTACAAAGTTTGTTGGCTTTATAGATAGGAGCTAGAATATACAATGCCTAAAGCCACTATTACGCAAAGCGTTTCGGGCAGGAAATATAAGTAATTTCGGGCTTCATATAAGTAATTTGATCAAATAATGTCCATATTTTCTTTTGTTCCCGCACTTGCAGGGTAAACTTGCGCACATCCACTGTACATTATTTTCTTGTAAACTCTCCACAATACTCCATATGCAACTCATCCCTCACAGCCATAGATGTATATTTGAAGTATTTGATGAAATATCTGTGCCCAATAATGTCACGAGTGCTGTCGGGTGTTGGGTTTGTAATATAACTTAACTGGAGGTGTTGTGATTTCTGTAAACCAATGACATTATATTACAAATCCACCATGTACAGTGAATACAAAAAAGAAGAAAGAACAATGTTAAATAATCTATAAAGGAGTAAAAAGCACAACCCCTAACCAAAACATTGACATCGTTATATACTATAAAATAGAGGAGACCACGTACATCATTACTTTGCAGAAATCCGTGGTGTAGTGGTAAGACACTCGCCTGGCGTTCCGCGAGCGCTATGTCATGGGTTCGTATCCTGGCCGGGGAGGATTTACTGGGCGCAAATCCTTAACTGTAGCCTCTGTTTAACGCAACAGTAAAATGTGTACTTGGTTGTAACAACGATTCTTCGCGGCGGGGATCGTATTCCAGGGACCATAGGATTAAGGACTTACCCGAAACGCTACGCGTACTAGTGGCTGTACAAGAATGTAACAACTCTTGTATATATCTCAAAAAAAAAAAAAAAATTGAAAACAGCCCGAAGCCAACTGAGAACCTTTTACAGCAGTTGAACGTGCAATATATGTATACCTTCCCCCACGGAAGGATGTAGCCTTCAATATAAGTACATAGGTATATCGTCGACCAATCTCACGAGGCGTTTGACCTGTCGTTTTCAATCAGGTTCCCCTAAAAATCACATGACATCACCCTATCAAGAGAAATGCTGAATAAAAATATTTGCATATTAGACAAAACCAAGATGTAAGAAGCCTATCAATTCTTAAAGGTATTCACATAAGTCGACCAACGCACCATATTCTCAAATAACGGAATTATGCCGTCACCATGAGACAAGCCTATGACATCACCCTCACAAGGGAAATGCTGAATATGAATAATACTTGTATGAACAAGTACTATTAGTGTAATGTAGTTGCAGCCAACTCTGGCTGCCTGTCCCCCGACACAATGAACTATTATTATTATTATTATTATTATTATTATTATTATTATTATTATTATTATAGGATAATCTCTCCAACTTCTCAGGTTTTCTTGTGATACATAAAATAAGGTGGTAACATCTTTTCATAATAAGTGCTAACTTCCATTCGGGATTTACACAGTTGTGCTCTACAATTATCCCATTTCACATTCATTTCAATCACCGCACCATTCATTGCAATGTTAAAGCTCTTCCAATCATTGCAGACCAGTCACTAATATTCCACTGTTGACTTACACAATCGCTCATATAAAGAAGACTATACAATAGCCTTAAAACATCATAAGATATCTGAACCTTCTACAACCCATTAATATTCACACAATACAATGTATGATTCATTACAAAGTTGCGCATATTATTTCCTTATTCTTTTATTCTCGGTTAATTCTCAATAAATACATTAACTCTAATGTTTCTTCCAGATGACAGTCCCAGTGTTGTCGTATCCATTTAATGTGGCAACGCTGCTGATCCTTGCTATCGGGGTCACCACAAACTCGCCATTCCCCTGGGTAGCTGATAAGACTTTCCCAGAGCATCATGTTTTCTTGTACATCCGCTCCCTTAGAGCACAGGTAAATTTAATTGTATTGTCTCCAAGAAAACCAATAAGCTTTGCCCAAGTTTAGGAAGACAAGGTGGTGATTTGAGAATCTAATTATGGCAAGAATATGGCAGGTGAATTAGAGAACTAACTAAAAATTCCAAGCACTCATTCCATGCAAATTGGTTAAACAACTACTGGTTAAAACGTTAAGAATATCACTTTTAGATGATAAGACAATAGTCCGAAACGCCCACTGTAAACTAACAGAGTAAATAAGACGATGCAAAGTTCAAGAATGGTGACCGTCATCCGAAAGATGATAAAGGAGAAAATATTTAAGAACATTTGTTTTTTAAATATCGTGAGTGTTGTCTTGTGTGGCAGGAATTTGGTGTAAGGAATGGAGCAACTCACTCAATTGAGCAAATTAAAAATATTTTTGAAGCAACAGCTTGGGTCGACGACCGGGCCGCGGGGACGCTAAGCCCCGGAAGCACCTCAAGGTAACCTCAAGGTTGGGTACCACAGTGAAAACAAAATGAGATATATGCTTATTATTCAATAAAGAAGTTGTGAAGTTAAGAGGAAGAAATCTGGAATTCTTAAATCAAAGGAGACGAAAACTATATGAAATAGGCTTTTCAGGAGAAACGTCTTCAATAAATCCTATTGTATCGACTGTACTACTGGGACCCATCGAAATAATATTGAAGGAATAATTTCTTTATGCTAATTAAAAAAATTATAATTATGGATTTATCCCGAGCATGACTGATTGTTCTATAACAAGCCTAATTATTTTGACGAGGATGTTTAATTGTTTCATGGCATGGCCTTTCTATAATGAATATAATGAATACTCACTCACTTGTGCTCCAAACTCACTGTACTCACTCACTTGTGCTCCAAACTCACTGTACTCACTCACTTGTGCTCCAAACTCATTGTACTCACTCACTTGTGCTCCAAACTCACTGTACTCACTCACTTGTGCTCCAAACTCACTGTACTCACTCACTTGTGCTCCAAACTCATTGTACTCACTCACTTGTGCTCCAAACTCATTGTACTCACTCACTTGTGCTCCAAACTCACTGTACTCACTCACTTGTGCTCCAAACTCACTGTACTCACTCACTTGTGCTCCAAACTCACTGTACTCACTCACTTGTGCTCCAAACTCACTGTACTCACTCACTTGTGCTTCAAATCTTGTACTGCCAACTTACCCAATATTAAATAGCCAATATTGGCCGAAACGCTATGCGTACTAGTGGCTTTAGGTATTGTATGTACTAGCTCTATCTATAAATCTAACTTTATGTTTGTAAATCTTCTATGTACGTATTTTTACCTGAATAAAAATTTGAATTTTGAATTTTGAATTTTTTGAATATAACAAACTGAACTTATGTAAGAAGCAGAAGATGTGTTAGAGGGCAAAACAATGTCTAATGGCTGCAATATTTTAACCTTAAATTTGTTAAGAGAATTATTTAAGAAACTTTATCTAGCATTTATATTTGTCAATTGTAATAAACTAAACTTTATTTATGTTTTGCAACAGAATGCAGAGGCAATTACTCAAGATCCTGAGGATCAAGGAAAACCGTTAAAAATCTTAACGGCAGAGGACAACCACTTAACTTACTGAAGATCAAGAGCGCCCACACAAGATCCTGAGGTTCAAGAGCACCCACACAAGATCCTGAGGTTCAAGAGCCCCCACACAAGATCCTGAGGTTCAAGAGCGCCCACACAAGATCCTGAGGTTCAAGAGCACCCACACAAGATCCCGAGGTTCAAGAGCACCCACACAAGATCCTGAGGTTCAAGAGCACCCATACAAGATCCTGAGGTTCAAGAGCACCCACACAAGATCCTGAGGTTCAAGAGCACCCACACAGGATCCTGAGGTTCAAGAGCACCCACACAAGATCCTGAGGTTCAAGAGCACCCACACAAGATCCTGAGGTTCAAGAGCACCCACACAAGATCCTGAGGTTCAAGAGCACCCACACAAGATCCTGAGGTTCAAGAGCACCCACACAAGATCCTGAGGTTCAAGAGCACCCACACAAGATCCTGAGGTTCAAGAGCACCCACACAGGATCCTGAGGTTCAAGAGCACCCACACAAGATCCTGAGGTTCAAGAGCACCCACACAAGATCCTGAGGTTCAAGAGCACCCACACAAGATCCCGAGGACCAAGAGCACCCACACAAGATCCTGAGGTTCAAGAGCGCCCACACAAGATCCTGAGGTTCAAGAGCGCCCACACAAGATCCTGAGTTGCTTTAACAAATTCATTACAAATAGCAGTACTAGATGATCAAATTTAGTGCTTGACATATTTGTAAATAATTTAGGCAGGATTTTCATTCGAAGGAAAACGTTATTATATTTATTTTTCTTAAAATAGAGGAAGGTAGCCTATGTCTCGCCTATGACCAACATAGGCGAGACTAGAAATTTTGTTTCATGTATTGCAAAAGATGTTTAATTATTAAGATGTCCAGTCGTTTCTGATATATAATAGCAAACAGATTCAGAAGCTTAACTCTTAACTTTAGTTTCTAACATATGTAGATATGGCTAGACAGAGGAAGTGCACAACCGTAAAACATCATGATTTTACTTAATTTACCTGATTTACATAAGGGCCACTAACACTAGTGGCCTCGACGATGACAGGAAGCCGGCGGCTTCTGACCGGGAAATCAGCCGTGTTGTGCATGAATGCGGGTTCTTGAGGTTATATTGAGATAATTTCGGGGCGTCCCCGCGGCCCGGTCCTCGACCAGGCCTCTACCCCCAGGAAGCAGCCCGTGACAGCTGACTAACTCCCAGGTACCTATTTACTGCTAGGTAACAGGAGCATCAGGGTGAAAGAAACTCTGCCCATATGTTTCCGCCTCCACCGGGGATCGAACCCGGAACCTCAGGACTACGAATCCGAAGCGCTGTCCATTCAGCTGTTAGGGTTAGTGGAATGTGCTCTCTTGATTTCTGTTTGTCCTAGCTGTGAATGGACAATGTGAATTATAGTGTAATGTGTGAACTATTGTATAATATGTAATCTATTTAAAATGTGAACTATAGTATAATGTGTTATCTATGAGTGAAAAGTAATATTATTTATGAACTATAGCATATTGTGTGAACTATAACTTTATTTAACTGTAATATACCGTGTGAATTGTAGTATAATGTATGAAGCATTGTATAATACATGAACTTCTAGTAAAATATGCGAACTGTAATGCATTTTGTAAACTATATTGAATATTATACAAAGACTTTATCATGTAACATTTTATGTTGCCAAATAAAATACTCAAGAGGCTTTATTTTTCTTTATTATGCATCCCATACCCATCCCGTGGGCGGTGGTGTAAAGGATTACAGAGGCACATAATCGGTTCAGGAACTGAACCCTCTAGTTCGTTTAGCTAAGCAAATAACAATCTTTTGACGTTAGTTACAAAATTATTAATGTTATATATACATGTACATATACATACGTATACATATATACATACACATACATATTTAATCACACACAAATACACACATCAATCATCTTTTGTGTCACAAGTGATTCAACAAGAGGCTCACAACAGTCACTATACAAGGCACTTTACATCTATGATGAGTCACACAGTTACTAGTCTTGCTGCACACCCACCCAACTGGGCGGCAGCTTTACAGTCATGTGCTCCACACCCACCCAACTGGGCGGCAGCTTTACAGTCATGTGCTCCACACCCACCCAACTGGGCGGCAGCTTTACAGTCATGTGCTCCACACCCACCCAACTGGGCGGCAGCTTTACAGTCATGTGCTCCACACCCACCCAACTGGGCGGCAGCTTTACAGTCATGTGCTCCACACCCACCCAATTGGGCGGCAGCTTTACAGTCATGTGCTCCACACCCACCCAACTGGGCGGCAGCTTTACAGTCATGTGCTCCACACCCACCCAACTGGGCGGCAGCTTTACAGTCATGTGCATACATTACCTACAATAAGCAAATTTTGGATACTTCGCTAAGATTTCGGGCAGCACATCATTATGAATGAAGTACTTACACATTTCTTGGACACTATTGATGGTGTTATCTCTAAATTCCGCGATTTTTTCACATTCCATTCCATTATATAATGACGCAAAATATGCGAATAGTTTTGCTGACAAGAGTTTACATTTAGTCAAATCTACATCAAATGTTACAAATTCCTAGAGGTACTTGAAGCCAAGTCTAAGCCTAGCAGTGGTAACATCCAGAAGTCTGCTAACCTTATTGGATGACCCATAGACGTGCGGTACTTCCTGCATAATAGAATGATGATAGATGTCGTAGTAGGTGGAGTAACTGGTGTGAATTTCACTTTGCCTCAAGTCTCCGAAATTGTTTATACAATGGACCCGATTACCTCGTGAAATGTAAAAATAACTTTTATGACAAGCGTCGAAACGATTCAGTACTCAAATCAATTATGATATTAGTACTGAAATGAAATTAGGCATTCTTAAACAGTGATGAACCACAATGATAGGCGTCTCATCCTAGAGCAACTAGCTTTTTTCATGTCGGGGAGACTTGTTGAAATGGATTAGGGGCTATTTGAGTGACAGAACTGCCGCAGTTATCTATAAGAGGGTTAAGAGTACCCATAATGCCTCCTTTGAATTGGGCACACCTCAGGGAGGAGTCCTCAGTCCTACGCTTTTCAGTGTGCTGATGCATAGACTATAAAAATAATAATAATAATAATAATAATAATAATTTTTATTTAGGTAAGGTACATACATAAAGAGATTTTACAAAGTTTGTTGGCTTTATAGATAGAGCTAGTACATACAATGCCTAAAGCCACTATTACGCAAAGCGTTTCGGGCAGCAAGAGGCTATTAGTTTCCTCTCACCGACTTCTCTTCAGGCTCGCCCTGAAGTCAATGTCAAAGACTGTACCTCTTTCAAGCAGTTTAAGATGAAGCTAAGTACTACCTAATTAACTCCACGTAACCCACCTTACCCCTAAATGTCAACCCATGCCTTACTATTTTTAAACAATGCTGTTTGCTAACCAATTTGTAAATTGGCTATTTTCTACCATGTTCCCCCCTTTTTTATCTTTTATTTTTTTTCAACTCAATTTATACTTTAAGCTCAATTACTATTAAGTTTTAATCTAAGTGTTTTTTCTCCCACCTCACCTTGCACTAGCTCTCCACATATGTCAGTTGCTTAATTTAGAACCTGTACTTGAGGTCGAGGTCGTTGTGCAGTCCCCGTGGTGTAGTGGTAAGACACTCGCCTGGCGTTCCGCGAGCGCTATGTCATGGGTTCGTATCCTGGCCGGGGAGGATTTACTGGGCGCAATTCCTTAACTGTAGCCTCTGTTTAACGCAACAGTAAAATGTGTACCTGGATGAAAAAACGATTCTTCGCGGCGGGGATCGTATTCCAGGGACCTGCCCGAAACGCTACGCGTACTAGTGGCTGTACAAGAATGTAACAACTCTTGTATATATCTCAAAAAAATCTCGAACCCATTGTTGATGTGACGACTTATATTGAATTTTGTAACTAGCTCATCAAGATTGTAACTTGCTTAGCTAAATGAATTGTGGGGGTTCAGTCCCTGAGCCCATTATGTGCCTCTGTAACCCTTTCCGCTACCGCCCACAAGATGGGTATGGGGTGCATAATAAATGAACTAAACTAAAAAAAAAAAAAAACTCACCTTGCCCGAAATGCTATGCGTACTAGTGTCTTTAGGTATTGTACAGTACTAGCTCTATCTATAAATCCAACATTATGTTTGTAAAACAACTATGTATGTACTTTCCTGAATAAAATTCTGTTATCATTTTTTTGTCTATAAATTTTGCAAGTATTTACCTCCTTAAAATTTTCTTAGATTAAGGACCTGCCCGAAACGCTGCGCGTGCTAGTGGCTTTACAAGACTGTAATTACCATATTTGTATCCTCACATTCCTTATGTACATTCTTGTATATGCATAAATAAATAAATAAATAAATCAATAAATAAATCAATAAATAAATAAAATTGACTTTACTTTAGCCGTCAGGAAGGGGGATAGGCATGTATTCCTCACGGGCCGCCTCTGGAGTTAAGCGACGACTAGTAAACCAAAACAAACATGGCATCTGCTCTGGAGCATTTCGTTAATAACGTGACGTCGCTGTCTTCACAAGGTTAGTATGGCATTTATGTTGCACTTCCTTTATTTTGTTTCATAATGGTTACTGTTGCCTTGTTTTATTTTATTTTCCTTGGTTACGTTTTATGTATTTGTACCGGTAACACCAAGGGAATGTTTGTTCATCGACTTTGTTTAGCAGTTTTCCGGCAAATTGTTTCCTAATTGTCTGTTAGGTATTTCGAGGTGCTCCTGGACCAACGATTGACCATTCCCAGGATGCAACTCATAAGTTACCTAAGATGAGTATCTATTTGCAGCTATGTAAACAGATGCATCAAGTGAAGAGTATGTGGTTATCCTGAGGTTATCTTGAGTTGATTTCGGGGCTTTAGTGTCCCCTTGGCCCGGTCCTCGACCAGGCCTCCACCCCCAGGAAGCAGCCCGTGACAGCTGACTAACACCCAGGTACCTATTTACTGCTAGGTAACAGGGGCATAGGGTGAAAGAAACTCTGCCCATCGTTTCTCGCCGACGCCCGGGATCGAACCTCGGACCACAGGATCACGTGTCCAGCGTGCTGTCCGCTCGGCCGGTTGGCTCCCGGCTACCGGTGATGTGTATCATATTATACACAGTTTGATACATTATATCTTGCAATAATCCTCAAATTATGCTGAAATGTACCTGTGGATTACCTTTAAATTTACTTTAATGTACCTATTTTTATTTGTCAAATTTCTTACACAATGTTCTTTTTGTACTTTCTTTCAATGTATTTTTTTTTTAATTTTGCTAGAAATTACCTTCTTAAAATTATATGTTAGATTAAGGATCTTCCTGAAACGCTATGCGTGCTAGTGGTTTTACAAGAATGTAAAAAAAAAAAATTCAAGTCTGTACGCTCATGAACCCAATGTACCTTCTTGTATATAAATAAATAAAATAATAAATGAAAATAAATAAGAGTAGGGGTGACATAGGCACAATCAGAGAACAAAACTTTGGGGAGTGGTTTATTTGTTTGCACCCATCTCTTTTTTTTTTTGATGAAGAAAGAGTTGGTGGGCTTCCGGTGGGGTCCTTTGGCGATTGATGCTTGGTTGGTTTGGCTGAACGTGCATCATGTTTTGTGTTGCATGGCGGCTCTTCACTGCTGCCTGTATGCCATTGATTCTGCAGGCGATGAGTCACAATAACGTGGCTGAAGTATGTTGACCAGACCACACACTAGAAATTGAAGGGACGATGACGTTTCGGTCCGTCCTGGACAATCACAATCGACTTGAGAATGGTCCAGGACGGACCGAAACGTCATCGTCCCTTCAATTTCTAGTGTGTGGTCTGGTCGCCATTGATTCTGTTTTGGTGGATACCTTGTTGGTTGATCACACTTTCCTTGATTCCTCGTTCCAAGCCTCACATTTCTCAGGTGGTCCACAGTGTCCTAAAGCCTAGCCAGTCTGTGGTTCACCCTCAGGTCCACGATGTTCATAAAAGCAGTATGCAACTTTAGCTGCTGTCTGCTCTAATATGTTGTGGGCAGACATTTAGGTTTAAGGATTTTGGCATTGTAATGAGGATGCTGGTGGTCTAGTGTTTGATTAATGTTCATGGCCCTTTCTGTCATGTGTGTGACTTTAGGCTGTGTTGCCCGCCCTGGTTTCTCATCTTCGTCTTAGAGTGCCTGGTGCCTCTCATCCTTCCTGGTTAGTCCCTTTTTTGTTCTTTGTAGTTAGATTAGCTTCAGGGAGCCAAAAGGGGCTCCCTCCAGAAATCTAGCATTGAATGTAATGAAAAGTCAATTTCTGGTGGAGCCCAGGTGGCTTCCTTCCTTCTCTACTTCTTGCCAGCCCTACTCCCTGCCCTCAGGTAGTTTATGAAGTTTATTTGCTTCTCAAGTCCAGAGTTGACTTTGGGAGCTGGCTGGGAACCAGGACTAGGGTGCCTGGTGAGGGTAATTGGTACTAACAAGTTTTGAGTTTCTTTGAGTGAATCCCTTGTTCCGTGTGACTCGTTTGCATAGTTGTTTGACTGTTTTTATGGCTTGTTCTGGCTCTGGTTTCTGGTAGGCCAAACAGAACTATCAATGGCTGATGTGACCTGGCTTACATGTATGAAGCAGTCTTAGTAAGGTAACTTCAGGGAGCCAATGGGGCTCCTCCAGCAATTGGTATATCATTACATGCAATGCTGGGTTTTTAGAAATAATGTTGTAGATCTATGGAGGAAATTACAAATTTATATCATAGAAACAAGGTCATAGGAAAGTTTAGTACATAGGTTGAGTAAGTATGAGGAAGAGTGAATGATTATATATGAATAGGATTACCTTGCAGTTACCTTGTGTAGATTTCAGAGGTCAAAGTCCCTGTGGCCCGGTCTGTGACCAGGCCTACTGGTGAGCTGGGTGCTGCCTTTTATGGGCCCAATAGGTCTTCTGTAAGCTGTTTTTTTATTTTATGTTCTTAATATCATATTATAATAATTCATTGTGTCAGGGGGACAGGAAGCCAGAGTGTATTCATACACAGTAGACTTATATTAAGGCCCCCCAAGACTGAATTACTGACCCTGCCCAGAATGCAACACCCACAACAAGCAGACTAATTCCTGAGTACCTACTTACTGCTAGGTGAATAGAGGCATTAGGTGAAAGAAAATGTGCTCCACCATTTCTGTCCCGCCCGGGATTCGAACCCGGAATTCTTGATTGTGCGTCGAGAACGAACCCCACTGTACTACCGGACCCTTTATTATACTCAGTACGTTATGACTGTGTATTATTCCATATAATAAATGATCTAACAGTCTCCGTGGTGTAGTGGTAAGACACTCGCCTGGCGTTCCGCGAGCGCTATGTCATGGGTTCGTATCCTGGCCGGGGAGGATTTACTGGGCGCAATTCCTTAACTGTAGCCTCTGTTTAACGCAACAGTAAAATGTGTACTTGGATGAAAAAACGATTCTTCGCGGCAGGGGATCGTATTCCAGGGACCATAGGATTAAGGACTTGCCCGAAACGCTACGCGTACTAGTGGCTGTACAAGAATGTAACAACTCTTGTATATATCTCAAAAAAAAAATATAATGTATGACATATTATGTCATAGTACCATATATTATAATATCCTGGTCCAGATAGTGCAGTACTGTACCTCATGGATTTGTATCATAATACTGTTAATACAGTATTATGTATTACAAGTCAAGTATTACAAGTTATTATTATGTATTATTATGTATTTTGTATCAAAATAACAACTCAGTGCCCCATGGACTAGTATCAAAATAACACTGGTTCAGTATCACTGGACCACTTGGGTCATTATTTATTTATTTATGTATTTTTATTTATTTTATATATATACAATAGTTCTTGCATTCTTATACAGCATGAATAGTGTTTCAAGCAAGTCCTTAATCCTAATTTTCACACACACACACACACATTCCAGGAAACAGGCCATAGCAGCTGTCTAACTCCTAGGTACCTATTTACTTCTAGGTGAACACATGCATCAGGTTAAAAGAAACTCTGCCCATTTGTTTCCACCTCCACTGGGAATCGAACCTGGACCCTTACGACTATGAACCCCGATCACTGTCCAATCAGCCGTCAGGCCCCAGTATCATACAGTAGTGATCACAGGTCTACTGAGGTGCATGTGTTACTGGTCAATGACTAGCATATGTTCATCAGTGAGCTGAACTTTATTTTTAGTGCAATACATTTCACATAAGACTTGTCATTTTACTATCTTGAAATCTCTTGTCAACATGTTTTCAGGAAACTATGGAGAGGTTGTGAAGTATGTGAGCAAGAGCACCGAAGTTTTAGCCAAAAATGTGGCTCATCTGGATACTGTCCTTGCAACACTGCAACCACAGAACCACTCTCTGGGGGTAATGGCAGTGCTCTGTGTTAGGCTGCAGAATACTACTCATACTGATGCAAATATTGATACCCTGCATGCCACTGTTGCAGAGTTCATTAGTGTTTGTGCTGAAGAACAGATCAAGTATGCACCTGATATGAGTAAGTTTTTAAGTTTTGTTTGACCTTTGGAAAAGATTTAATTATTTTGTAAACTTCCCATATGTGTAAATATTGTCTACATGCTTGACCATGTATTATCAACATCATGTCTGTTTATTCGTTATCTTCTAACTCGTGCATTTTGATCACCAGATATCTACCAGCCATTATTTTCTGGGAGGGCTCCTATTGGTAGCTCTTTGGTGCTTGCTGCCTGGCAAGCCCCATCCCAGACTCTTAAACACTGCATTGTGCACACTGTGATATCATAGGAAGAGGGGTGTGCACACCAGCATATCACGCTTGTTAGTATATAGTAACATTCAAAACTTCCACGGGTACATGGGGCTCACATCCTGTTCCTCAGGACTGCAATAAACAGAGGCCATCTTGAAAAAAAAAAATTATCTGCATCCCTCCTGGCTGTGAGAGCCTCATTAATGCCAGAGTGACCAAGGCTGGTGCATGCAGCTGGAGCTCACAGCACAGCTGCACAGGTCGGGGCCACAGCACTACTTGATAATGATGAACAAAATAAGTACAGTAACTGAAATTATTTTGTGATGATAGTGTCATAGATGATCCTAACTGTAATAAAAATTATGTACAAGGTTCATATACTAGTGAACACAATGCTAGTTATTATGTTCACAGCAGGAGGTTATCTTGAGGTTATCTTGAGATGATTTCGGGGCTTTTTAGTGTCCCCGCGGCCCGGTCCTCGACCAGGCCTCCACCCCCAGGAAGCAGCCCGTGACAGCTGACTAACACCCAGGTACCTATTTTACTGCTAGGTAACAGGGGCATAGGGTGAAAGAAACTCTGCCCATTGTTTCTCGCCGGCGCCTGGGATCGAACCCAGGACCACAGGATCACAAATCCAGCGTGCTGTCCGCTCGGCCGACCGGCTCCCCAGACTGGCTCCTCCCCAGGAGGCAGACATTCACAGCACACAGTCAAGGTTGATGAATCTATGCATCATTCAACAAGACCTCATGTTCCTTTAAAAAATAATCGTGTGGAAAATTATTCATATTCATAATTTAGTGACAGGAATCTGATAATAATAGCAGTGCTCGTAGTAATAATAATGATCATAGTATATTTCTGGGTATTTTGCTGCGTCAGGTGATGTCGTCTGCTGGCTTCAGCTGGTTGTAGTGTGTAACTATACTGTGCTAAGATTTCATTACCACACACACCAGAATTATTTAGTGGTTCATTATGGTTTATAAAAATGGATTATATATATATATATATACTGTATACTGTATATATATAATATATGTATAGGTATAGGTGTATATACTGTAATGTATTAACAGCAAAAGCACCATTTTCTGTGGGGAGCCCTGTCTGCTCCCTGAAGCTATCCAAACTGATATAGTGCTTTATTATTTTGGGGTCATCAGTCACAGGAGTCCTTTGCCTACTGGAGAGAGATGCAGGGTGCAATAACCTATGAACACTTTTCATTTAAAGTACTGTATGTCATACTTGTCTTTGACCAGGAAAGGCACCCAGAAAGACAGGCAAAGCAAACTAGTCTAGTGAAAATTGGTATCTACCTTACCTTGAGGTTACCTTGAGGTGCTTCCGGGGCTTAACGTCCCCGTGGCCCGGTCGTCGACCAGGCCTCCTGGTTGCTACTACGTCCAGAATGAGCAAAAGAACTCCCCAGAAAGAAAACAAGCAAGCAATACTTCATGCAACTAGCACTCCTGCTCGCTAGCACTACCCCTTCCTTCCCCCGCCTTTGGGAACTGATGTGCTATCGGTCAGATTGTCACCTCTGTCCTTAAAGTCCTGTGACTTTTCCAGCTGTGTGTGTGGTGTGTTGGTCAGGTGTCTTAGAGTACAGGAGCTGCATGTAGGTAGCGGGGGAGGGTGCGGGATGGGGGTGGGGGGGGGGTGAAGGATGCGGGGAGGGGAAGGAGATGGAGGTAGCGTGGAGGGACCGGGGGTGACCAGCACCTGTGTTAGTCCTAGCTGGTTCACTCATGCCACCAACTGCTTACCACCCACCCACTCTAGGGCTGGTGTTTCTAAAAGATTTTCTTTCCTGTTCCCATCCTTCCCCCCCCCCTTTGTGGGGGATGGCAGGCAAGTGGGACAGCTTCCCTGTCCCACTTGCCTGCCATCCATTTGGTCCCCCCACCATCCATCCATCCATCCAGTTCCCCCAACATGCATCCAGCTCCCCCACCATCCATCCTGTCCCCTCCCCCTCACCATCCATCCATCCAGTCCCCTCCCCTCACCATCCATCCAGTCCCCTCTCCCCCACCATCCATCCAGTCCCTTCTCCCCACCATTCATCCACCCATCCAGTCCCCTCGCCATCCAGTCCCCTCACCAGCCAGTCCCCTCACTATCCATTCATCCATCCAGTCCTCTCACCATTCATCCTGTTCCCCCCATCATCCATCCAGTTCCCTAACCATCCATCCATCCAGTCCCCTCACCATCCATCCATCTAGCCCCCTCACCATCCATCCATCTAGCCCCCTCACCATCCATCCAGTCCTCACCATCCATCCAACTATCCAGTCCCCTCACTATCCATCCAACTATCCAGTCCCCTCACCATCCATCCAGTCCCTTCACCATCCACCCAACTATCCAGCTTGATTGTGGCTCAGTTGGCGACCTGGTAAAGATATATAGGAAGTTGGAGTGATTTTACCTGTGGGCAGGCTCGATTGTGGGACCCGAGTTGCCGTGTCAACCGACACGATATATAAGGAAGCCTTGGGGGTCAAGTTTTCTTCACTTGCTACAGGTGCAAGGCCAGGTATAGGGAAGGAACCCAAGCCCATAGAGGATTGAGGTGCTCCCGGGGTGTTCATTTGTGCTTAGTGGAAGAGGGGGGGGGGGGAGCTGAGACCCACTACATACCTTTACCTTACCTTGAGGTGCTTCCGGGGCTTAGCGTCCCCGCGGAATATATCAGTTCGGATAGTTTCAGGGATCCGACTGGGCTCCCCACAGAAAACATAACTCGATCACTGTTTATATAGGACAGGCATAAATCTAGGTATTTATTTCTGTTTGTAGGTTAATATAGTGCAACTATAGATCAGTTGCACTAACATCACACTTTATTAAACTTTATGAAAGAGTGATTAGGAATCAAATCTTTAGTTCTGTGGAAAACTTTGAACTTCACAACCCAGGTCAACATGGATTTAAAGAGGGAAGATCCTTTCTCTCTCAGTTACTAAATAACTATGACAAAATCATAGAGGCTGTTGAAGAAAAACAAAATGTAGATGTTGTATACACAGACTTTGCAAAGGCATTTGATAAGTGTGACCATGTAGTGATAGCTCATAAAATGAGATCAACAGGAATAATGGGTAAAGTGGTCAACAGGAATAATGGGTAAAGTGGGACATTGGATTTTAAATTTTCTGTCAAACAGAATGTCAAATTTTCTGTTAAATTCTTTAGATGAATTTTATTAAATTATTTGCAGGTGTTTTTGCATGTTTAATAGTACAGTACAGTATCTTCTTTTCACTCAGTGGCTGATCTTTGTGGAAGCTATGCAGATCTGTTAGTAGCAGGGAGTTGTGCTATGCGAGGAGTAGAAGTTCTGAGCACTGCAATTCGCAAGACTCAAGAATCTCCCCTTCATCTCACTTCAATCCATGCTCACTTGGTACACCTGTGCCTTGTGTCAAAATGTTTTAAGCCTGCTATTAAGTTCATGGATATAGATATTATGGACATTAGCAAGGAGGTTAGTAATATTTATATTTTTTTATTTTTTAATATTATGTATTGTATACCATATATGTCAAATACAACTTAATAAATTCTAAGACATTGGTGCAAACAATAAATAATGAGACTGCTCTTGCTGACATAGTCAGCATAAGCATGTGCAGCGCAAGGGAGGAGGAGGATGTGCAGTTTTTCTGGAGGAGGTAGTCAGTGTTGCTGTTGGAGGCAGTCTGGTAGGGTCAGGGCTTCACCTTTTGCTGTCAGGGTAGCCCTCGTTAAAGCCCGATTCTTTGTTGTGTGCACCTCCTGCTGTCGGCTCCTCGACTGCTCATTGGCACTGTTCTGATAGCTCTTAGAGATACACTGCTGTTCATGGTTTGAGCCTGCCCCTTTGCAATTTGCCCCCTTTAATAGGGCAGTTTGGGGAGAGTCCAGCTTGTCCAGTTTGCCAACTCCTGATTCCATTATTTGTGGGCTTTTTGGGTCGTTTCCTGAGGCCTTTGGCAGAGTTGGTCGGTCCTTCCCACCGTCTGGAATGTTGGGGCTTACGGGGCAGGCCTCTTCTCCTCATCTTTATTAGGTCATTGCAGAGTGGATAGGTTTAATTGTCATTATTGTACCAGTTATCACTTAGGAGGATGTGCTATTAGTTTTGATCTGTTGTTCTTAGGTGTCATAGCAAGGGACATCCTTTGTTGGTAAGACTGAGCTCTGCTCTCTTCAACTCTGTGCTTCTTGCTATGAAGTCAGAACATTTGAAAGTATTTAGAGTAGTGTCAGAGAGAGCCTTGAGTGAGAGCCATGTCCTCTGAAGAGTGGGGCTATTGCTATGGGGGAGCAAATGAGGCGGTTCTTGTTTTGTAGGTATTATTATTATGCTTGTTCATGAAATGCAGAATTTAGAAATTTAGTTAAACCAGAATTAACTCTGCTTCTAGTAACTTTTATGTTATTTTTCCCACTTACAGCGTAATGGATATGATGTCAAGCACTTTCTTCTTTATTACTACTATGGAGGTATGATTTATACAGCGATAAAGAATTATGATAGAGCGCAGTACTTTTTTCGTGTTTGCATCACAACTCCTGCCTTGGCTGTGTCTCATATCATGCTAGAAGCTTTCAAGAAATACATCCTTGTCTCTCTCATACTGGAGGGAAAGGTAAGTCATTCTTGTGATTCTTTTGTATATTATACCATTTTATGTAAGGTGACATATTTAAGTTCTCTTAGCTTGTTATCCTTGCTACATACTCGTGGTCTGAACAGTCATAAGATTCAGAGGAAAACATCTTGAATATAATGCTGGGATGTCTAGAAGAAGAAAGAAAGGAAGGAATCACAATAACGTGGCTAAAGTATGTTGACCAGACACCACACTAGACGGTGAAGGGACAAGGACGTTTTGGTCCATCCTGGACCATTCTCAAGTCGATTGTACTTGAGAATGGTCCAGGACGGACCGAAATGTTGTCGTCCCTTCATCTTCTAGTGTGTAGTCTGGTCAACGAGAGGAAGTTTAAAATATCTAGTACAATTGGTTAATTTATTAATACTGTATATATGCATTATATTGTAATACCAAAGCCAAATAATATTTTTACTGAACTAGGTAGAACAAACTTGTACAGTGAAGTAATTTCTTATTATTGAATGTTTTACTGAGAAAACTTTGTTATCCAATGTTTCCAATATTTACCAATACATTTTTTCCTGGAGAGAGCCATGTAGTTGTTTTCTGAAGCTACCTTAATGAGAATGCTCAGTACTAAAAGGTCACATCAGTTGCAGAAGTTCTGTTTCGCCAACCGGGGGACCAGAGCAAGAACCAGGCCCCATCACAGAGGCACAAGGGCCGAGTGACAATTCGTCACTCTAAGCTAACACTCCACACCCACCCAGTTGGGTCGGTGTGGAGCAAGACTAATAACTGCATGACTCACTATAGATGTAAAGTGCCTTGTATAGTGACAGTTGTGAGCCTCTTGTTGAATCACTTTTGATATAAAAATATTGATATGTACTGTATATGTATTTGTGTAAATGATATATATATCATTTACATATATATTAGACGTCCCTTCACCGTCTAACCAACCCTACCTAACCTACATAGGTTAGGTAGGGTTGGTTAGGTTCGGTCATATATCTACGTTATATATATATATATATATATATATATATATATATATATATATATATATATATATATATATATATATATATATATATATATATATATATATATATATATATATATATATATATATATATATATATATATAATATATATATATATATATATATATATATATATATATATATATATATATATATATATATATATATATATATATATACAGTGGTACCTCGGAATGCGAGTGTCCCTGTATGCGAGTTTTTCGGAAGACGAGCAGGATTTACTCCAAAAATATGTCTCGGAAGGCGAGGGTTACCTCGGGACGCGAGTTTGTTGATATGTGTACAGGCCGACTGGCGCGTGGTGGCATGGCTTTTCTGGGGGGAGCCCCGTCGGCTCCCCGGAGCTTTACCGGCTGATATGCTAATGTCAGACTTTGGCATCAGTCATGTGTATGGAGTTCTAGGGCCTACCGGGGACCACGAGCCAGAACCTGGCCCCCTCAGAGAGGCAAGGGGAGCAATGGCCTATAGAAACCCCCGTGTGGTTGGAAGCATTCTATGTCTGCCATCGACCGGGTCAAGCATCCAGAAAGGTAAGCATTCCAAAACAAACCCCTATTCTGGTGAAAATTGCTACCTAAGCCGAACTAGTGAATAGAACTCTTCAACAGAAAACACGGAAACTAGTATGACGTCATACGTCACCGCGCCGCTGTCTGCGCAGCTCCCCCCTCCCCGGGAGGGGGAAGGGGGAGCCCCAGACCTCCCACGCCGGCTATCCACCCATCAGTTCTTCGGCTGATGCTATAGGCAATGGTTATGTGCTCCGGCTCCAGTGGTTGTTTCAGCACTGTACCTAGAGTGTGGTGTCTGTTTTCTAGGTGGTGCGTGAGCCGGGTGTGATTCTTCAGTACTCGGGCTGCATGCGCCTAGGGTTCCCTTCCCTAGGTGCCCTGTAAGTACTGCCCTTGGGGCTTGGGGCCACCTTCCACAAGTTCCTTGGGTCCTGCCCCTGCTTGGCCGTTTACCGCTTGGTTTTCGGCCGCTCTTTGTGTGCTCGGGTGTTCTGTCTCCCTTGTTCGCCTTAGAGTAAGGGGCAGTGTTTGCACTGGTGGGGCGCGGGGTACTGTGCAGCTTGTCTTTACCAATCATAGCGGCCGGCTCTGTTCCGCTTGGGTACGCTGTCCTCTTGCGGGGTTTTCTTTTTCTTTTGTTTATATACCTGGTGGGGGGGTCTGCCTTCGTTCTTGCCCCTTGTGTCCCTTGTGTTCTGAGTATTTCTGGTGGTACCCCCTGCTAGGTCCCCGTGAGTGTACACGTCCCGGGGGTTCAGCTCTTAGAAAGTTGTTTGGTAGCTTGGGTGCCGGTTAGCAGTACCCTGCCTGGGATTACCTGAGCGCGAGTCCTCTTAAAGTAAACGCTCGGGACCCTGGGAAACCCCTGGGGGCGCGCGGGTCCGATGGATGTGACCCCAGAGCCCCCCCCTCGCTTCCAGCGAGTTTGAGGGTTGCTCTCACCTTTTGTCTCTGGGTGACTCTCTGTTTTGCCTCCGTCTGCTGCCTGTGGGGTCGGTGACACCTTCGACCCGGTGTCCTGCGAGTTTGGTTGCTCGTTGTGGCTCGGTTACCCAGTTGTGCTAACAAAGCGGGTGCGGGCAGCAGGGGCGTTGCACTTGAGCCTTGGTGGTGGCAACGTTCTCGTGGTTTCCTCCCCGGGAGCCCCGGGGCTGCCCCGTTGTATTTCGTTTTGGGACTTGGGGGTGTTGGTTGCTTCGGTTCCATCCACGCCCCCTTGTCTTTCCCCTGGTTCACCCTTCCTGCCTGCATCCGGTTCCTTACCGTCTGTAGGTTCAGGGCGGGGTGTTTGGTGGTGTTGAGACTCGGGCAGTCTCGGGGAATTCCCCTTCCGGGGTAGTGACGGGGGCATTTGGGCCTGTTCCTCCAGCCGTGTTGTATGAGTCTGCCAGTGGGCTCCCTTCCTTAGTGTTTTCACGGCTGCCCCGGTTTTCTGGTACGGCCGGGGCTTTGGGGGAACGGCTCGGCCCCGGGGCCTGTCGTGTAGGTTCCCGGGGCTGGGGAGGGGCTGACTTGGGGGGGCCTTGGCCCCGTTAGACCCCGTGGGGGGTTTTATCCCCCTCTAGGCGGGGCTTGTGGTTACGCGGAGTGGGGTCTTTCCTCCCCACTCGCCGTACGTGCTGTTGGACGTCGGCCCCTCCCCGGGCTCGGTTCCTTGGCCTTTGAGTCGGTTGGTTCCGTCCTGTGGGTGGATGTTTCCTCCCCCGCTTTTTGGGACGGTGTTTTTGTCATGTTTCCCCGTTCGATGGGGTTCTGCGTGACTTTTGATCTCGGGTGCGCCTGCGCCTTCGTGTGCCTTCGGGACTAGTGTTGGCTTCTGTGTTCTCGAGGGTACGGGAAGGTTTTTCGCTACTTCCCGCATTATTGGAACGTCTGTCGGCTCCTAGTACTTGTCGCCCTGTTGGGCTACTTGTCGCCCTGTTGGGCTACTTGTCGCCCGGTTGGGCTACTTGTCGGCCGTTTGGGCTACTTGTCGCCCGTTTGGGCTACTTGTCGCCCGTTTGGGTTCCCTTTTTTTGGGCTCTTTGCTTCTTTGGCCGGTTTTATTGTTCCTGCTTCCTCTTTTGGCTCTTTTTCTCGTGCAATAGTCCTGGCTGGCGCCTTCCCGCAGGGAGGGTGTGCGGTTCGGCCAGCGTGTTATGCGCATGCGCCGTGGAGTTTGTTTTGGTCTGGGCGATGGTTCAGTGCTGGGGTTTTGCGCCCTTTTTTGCTACAGTGCTTCGCCTCTCGTTCTTCTCCCTGGCTGCGGTATGTGCCCCTTTGCGCCAGGGGTGTCCTGGTTCCCAGTTGTGGGGAGGACACCGCGGTTTTCTGTGTCATGGGTGTGGACCGCCTCCTTCGCCTCTCCCTGTTCTCCTGCGGGTCCGGCTCTGGCGTCTTCACCTGGCGGTGCTCCCAAGTTCTTCTGGGCACGGTTGAGTCGTGTCAAGTTCGAGCCACCATTCGCCAGGTGAGTTTCTGCGGTCTGGCGTCTTTTGGCCGGGCGCTGGATGCGGCGGTGTTCATATACCTGTCTTTATTTAGGTATAATTTTGTACGACTGAGACCGTTCGCACACCAGTGACTGTCCCTTTATCACCCCTTCCTGTCCCCCTCATGTGCATGTCCAACCCATGCTGGAGTCGTTCAGGGGACCCTCCTTTTTTAATGTTGTGAGGTGTGGGGGTTGTAGGGTTGGTTCTGTACTCACCTGGTGAGGCTCCTGGCTGTGCTTGCAGGATTTGAGCTCTGGCTCTTGGGTCCCGCCTATCTGGTAGAACTTGCGGGATAGTACCAGTGGAGTGCAGTGGTGCTATTGGCACTTTTGGGGAACACTGTATTACCATCAGTGGTCTGTGCTTGTTACACGACCTACTTGCGAGCATAAGCCTTCTTGCTGGTTCGTCCGTGGACTTCCAGGGCGCACTGGCCTGTTTTCGTATGGCAGTTCCGGCCCGTCCTGGTTGTGGGGGTATGTGGGCCGGTGGACTGCTCCTAGCAGCTGCCTGGTGGGCCATCCTCTGGCCGGTCTGGCCTGACCTTGGGCCGGGCTTGAGGTGTAAAAGAGCTCCCAGTACCTCATCCAGCAGGTATCGAGCGGGGTTTCTCCGCCGTCGGTCGCCTGGTGCAGGTTTCTGGGCCTGCAGGGTTTTGTCGTGTCTCCGTTGGCCCTGTCTGGGGTCTGCCTGCTCCGTTCTCTGCCTTTGCAGAGGGGAGTTGCTATTTACATGTTGCATGTTGCAGTGGTGCCTGTTGCTGCTGCTGCTGCACGTGAGCATTGGTACCGTGTTTCACGGTGGCGTGTCCTTGTTCCTGTGTCCGGTTGTGGAGTGGCGCTTTGCTGCCGTTTTGTGCCTGGGGATTGCGTGGGGTTTTTGTCCCTGCCTGATTGTCCACCCCTGGTTGTTCTCCTGGTTTTTTTTTTTTTTTTTTTGTGCTTCTGCTCTTTCTTCCTGCCTCTTCTGCA